AATACTTTCCTGTATTTAGGCCCGTCCTAGTTGGGGATGTTATCCCAGCGTCGAGTCCCTTGTCTCGTACTTCTGTAGTCTATTAGCTGTGAGATCCTGACCTTAATCCTTAGTTCCTCTGTGTTTCAGTTTCTTATCTGAAAAATTAAAATCAGGTCAACTGATAGAGTTGATAAAAGAATTAAAGGAGATAACACTAGTAAGGCAATGGCTAACGCACCCGGCAGTTGTCTGGTGAAGTCTAGAGACCAGGAGCAAAGAGATTGCTCACCCAATAGCCGACAAAGCGGCAAGCAGGAGCTGCTGACTTAAATTTCCTAATTCCTCCATAAAGCCTGGCACTTTGCTTCTGTCCATACTTGGGAGACAGGCTGCACTTGGAATTCGCCAAAACAGTTGATTTGCTCTGGCCCATTTGCTAAAGAATGCCTGACGAGAGTGCACTGCCTGATTCAGGCGGAGCGGCTGCTGCAAAGATTGGCTTTGGAGTCTTCAGGGACCCCTGCAGTTGAACTGCGAAGGCATCATCACGTGCAGTGCTTCTAACACTTCTGGGTCCTTTAAGAGTCCCGCTTCTCAGAGGTGCCTTTGTGTGAGAACACTCTCAAAGGAGCCGAGGACTCCACCCCATAGGGTTTTACTGCAGCCCGCCCAGGCACTGGCTCATTCCTAGTGTCCCTTTTCCCTGCCTCATCCTAACTGTAATGTGATGGTATGAGGTTTTGCTCTTTGGAAAACTTTTTCCTTTCCGTTGGCTCTTTTGGGGGAGTATCTGGGTCCGTGTCGCCATTAAAGGCGCTGTGGCATGGACATGGCTTCTGATGTTGGTGCTGTCATTTACAGCCCGTGTAGTCACAGGAGAGTAATTAGGCCTCTGTGTCTCCATCTTTTTTACCTTTAAAGCAAGGGCATGGTCATCTGGAAGACTCATCTTTGAAAGCTTTGTAGCCTCAGAAAGCAAATAGGCAATGTGAAATGCCCACTCTCTCATAGCAGCGTGGAGTTTTTATCCGGTTTGATTCCTGGTACTATTTTTATGTTGCTGGCATTGTCAGTGAGCGAAGCAAATGTTTTACTGCTCCCTGCCTTCCATGGGATGGCACATATTTTATATCGGATGTGCTCTGCTGGGAAGTGGCCTTTCTCCCGTTTCTGTGATTTTTGCTTGTTCGTGTAAAGGAGACGGCTGTGCCATCTTACAGTTTGGGAGTCGCCCCCCACCCCCATCTGCCCATCTCTTTGTAGTGGCTGCGCCCAGTGCTCTGTCAATTCTTCCATTTCCCATTGATATTCCTTCACTAACGGAGGCTTGCTCAAAGAATGCTGCTGGGCAAATGGGATGACGGCCTTAGTAATTTGAAAACTTCCTGTACTGTATGCTTTCCATTATTGACAATGATGTTCCGGGAGAATATATGGCTTTAGCAAGACTTTGGTCAATTTTCCCCTGCTTTTCAGGTGTCAGCTGGGTACTAATGAAGTCATTGAACTTGCTTGGTATGCAGTGGCATGGTGACTCAGAGGTCCTGCACAGGGACCTCGCTGTGGTGACACTGTTACAGAACAAAGCACAGACGTATGACAAACACTAGAAATTTTGAAGGATTTTTTTCCTTACCAGGGGCCTCTTCTTCCACATTTTTCAAGTTGTACCTGAAGATACAGGATTTTTTTAAATAAAATTTGGAAATATGCCTTCCAATCAACTGTTCAGGGAGTGGCTTTCAGCAGGCAAAGCCTCTGCCTACTGAAAGTTGAACATGCCATTTTGCAGGCAAGATAGCTGTGGGCATGAACTTTGCAAGAGAATTAGCTGGAGACAACTTCTGAATCAGCCACCCTTTGTTTCTTCTGTACATAGGTGGGCTTTTGGTTTTGTTGTGAATACCTTCCATTACAGGGAATTTGTGTTCAACTAGTTGTAAGAATGATGGCAGTGAAGATCAAGTTCAAAGCATTCAATTTTTCTGTTATTAATGAAGAGGCATGATGCCCAGCATGAAAAAATAGACGGGCATCAGAGAGAGTAGGCAAAGGAGGAGGGGAGAGGTGTGCTGTTTCAGGACTGCTTTGTAAATAAAACAATCACAGGGCCTGGAGGAACTGAGTTATATGTCTCTCTAGCTTCAAAACCTCCACTTCTCCCATAATCCTCTTCTCTCCTAGCTCTTCTTTGACCAATAAATGCCATATTGTTCATTTCTCTCTAGGAAATGATAGGTATTTTCTCTCACTGTTTGCTTCAGGTCCTATCCACTGAGAGACAGTCAGGAGATGTGTACTTTTTTATTGGCAATAGAATACAAAAAATAAAAAATAAAAAGCTACAACAAAGCAAACATAAGCAAGTGTGGTACACATCTGCACTCATGGGTCTGAGGCAAGCCTGGGCTAGGTGTAAGACTGTCTCAAAACAAAACAAAATAGAACAAAAAGCAAATGCAGCTTCTTCTGCCTGGGATTCAGAAGTGACCTCCTCTTCGCTAGTTCTTCTCTGTCTGCTGAGTTTCAGGCAATGTCAGGCATTAGCTGCACTCAATAGAAGAAAATCATTCTGTTGCATGGTAAAGCTGAGTCACCACACATAAGCTTATCACTGAAAATCTTTGTGAAAATTCCACTGTTGTTTTATTCTTTTCAATTCTTTGGATTTTTAATTTTATTCGTATTGAGTGATTGGCTTGCATCACGTCTGTGCACCACATACTTGGTACACAAAGAGGACGGAAGAGGGCCCAGATCCCCTGAAACTGGAGTTAAAGATCATTGTGAGTTGTCATGAGCCTGCTGGGAATAAAACCTCGGTCCTCTGGGAGAGCAGCCAGAGAGAGAGAGCAGCTCTTAAGCATGGATCTATCTCTTCAGCCCATTTTAACTGACTTTTAAGGAAAAAGATTCAAGCATGTTTTGTTCTAGTTTTGCTTCTCTGTAGTAGAATAACACATAAGAAACAATTAGAAAGCCATTATAATCCACCAGGAATTGGCTGTGAATGCAATGGGGGAGATTGTAAGAATCAACACGTAATTATTGAGAGTCTACTCGGTTCTCAGCTATGCAGGGTAGATCAGAATGTAGGTCTTGCCCCTGAGTGAGTTATGGTCAGTTTGAAAATGAAAACCTTGGCATGAAACAACAGATAATGTATTTTGCAATATAATCACATAGTCGTGGAACACAGATGTCATGGAAAGGAGACTTCCTTCATGAGTAGAAGGATGGAAATGTTGAGGCTGTGAGATGGAAAAAAACTATGAGTAAGAAAGAAGGAAAGGTCACATCAAAGCACAGGTTGGCTTTCATGAGGTGAAAGCCAACTCAACCAGCAGTGAGAATCGGAGCTAAGAAAGCCAAAGGGGGCTGAGTACCTTGGGGGACCTTGGGTGTTTGGACAGTCTCCATTCAAACTGTAGCCTACAGGGAATCAATGGCAGTATTTCCAAGGAAGCGGCACCATGAAAGCAATGTTTCAGAAGGGCTAGCAGCCACATTTTAGATTGGTAAGAGGGAAGACTGTGGAGGCAGGAATACAAGCAAAGAAAAACCACTGAAGCAAGCCAAAGGCAGTACTTGAGAGCTGAACTATAAATGTGATAGAGAAAATAAAAATGAAAATAAGAAAAATGGCTGAGGTAAATCGGCTGCATATCAGAAAGGGAAGGCCATGGCTGGAAGGCCACAGCTAGGGCTCTAAAGTTGTAGGCATGTCTTCAAAAGGGCTGATGGAGAAGGCGGATCTGACTTTATTCGTATTGAGTTCAGAGTGACATTGGGTCAGCTAGTGAGGATGTTCAGAAGCTGGCCAAAAATAGGGAGGCCTGAGCTGTAGCTGTGTTCCTAGAGAAGGATGCCTTTCACACATGTGTTGACATGGGGACGAGAAAGGACACATGTCTGAGGAATGAAGAAGGTGATGTCAAGTGGACAGTGGTGAAGAAAGATGTCATGGAAGAGCCATGGAAAGTCCCATGGATCTGACCAGGACCAACTAATGAATAGAAAGTCAAGTAGGGGGGGTGACGTAAGTGCTATGACTTCCTCCAGCCACACCTTGCCTTCTCAGGGTCGGGCAGAGGCAAGAGGAGCAGAATGACACGGTCTGGCGAGGAAGACAAAGGAGTCAGTAGCAGACACTTGGGCCCCAGGAGAGGACAGGCTCTAGTGTGTGTGGGGGGAGATAGGAAGCAGCAAATGCTGCCCATGAAGATGTGGGTATGCGGGGAGGTGTCCCCTTCACGGAAATGGAGGGGCAGACAAGGAAGCCAGTCATGTGCAGCTGTGTTCCAGAATAAATGTGTCCGAGTGGACGCGTCTCTCTAACATTGGCCCACTTTGCCACCACACCCTGCTCCTGGCAAGGAAAGCCCTGTCTCCTACTCTCTAGGCTCTAGGTAACAGAGGCCTCCAGAGAGGCTGCTGTGGGGACGGGCACATTTTGCTTGTTGGTCTGATCTACCTGCCCTCCAAGTTCCCAGTTCACTTCAGAGATGGTTTTCTGTCATTGAAAGGCCACGATCACAGCAAGATAGGCCACCGGTTAGTTTCCTGTCCTCCACACCTGCCAGGCCAGCAGCCGCGGCTCCGCTAGAATAATGAATCTACCCCTGTAGAGGTGGTAGTGGGGCGTTGTCAAAGCCTGAAGGAAAGACAAGTGATAGGGAAGAGACGAGAACAGGGTCACAGAGGGCCATGAGAACAAGCATGAAGAAAGTAAAAGCAGGTCACCTCCACCCATGTCCATCTGGATTGGCAATTGGGGAGACACAGACAAAGGAGACACACATGTATGTACAGATACACAACAGCATAAAATGGGCATGTTCATGTGCACGTGAACACACACACACATTTGGACCCATTTGCAGGCACTAGGGGGGGAGGCATTACACAGCTGCATAGCTCCCTCCTCTCCGAGAAGGTCCTCTCCCTGGAGCATCTGGGTGTGGGCTGAGGCAGGCCCAGGTCTTCTGGGCCTCACCCCTCCCCTTTGTGTTTTCCAGGTCGTGATATGGCGAGCACCACTCTGCCTGGTTACCCCCCACACGTGCCCCCCACTGGCCAGGGAAGCTACCCTACCTCCACCCTGGCAGGAATGGTGCCTGGTAGGTGACAGCGCTGTAGATGTATCATCTGTGGGGTGGGGGCAGGGTGACTAAATTGTGGGTGAGCTGCTAAAATGGTCTGCAGTCTGAGGCTGGGGGTGGGAGGAGAACCAACAAACCATTGTCCCACAAACCATTCTTTCTTCATAGAGGCCTCAACTAGCTTTTTAGAAGCAACTCGAGGGGAAAACTTACAGAAATGTTTCCTTGTGTGCACGGCTTTAGGTTATGGCCCCTTCTCAGCACCCACCTATCCAAGCCCAACCCAGCTAGCTGACACGGCTTGGAAGAGCCTGCCCTGGTTTCCATGGAAACTTGGAACCAAGGACCATTTTCAGGGGCATGACAGTCATTCAGACAAAGCCAAGCTGGTCCACACCACACTAGAGTAGGAGACCACTGTGGAAAACCAACCCCAATCCAGAGAGAGAACGAAGCTAGCCTCAAAGTGGAGTGGAGGACAGCGGGGAACCAGAGAGACCTTAGCTTCAGAGAGAAACAAGCTGAACTCCGCTATTCTTCGGAGGACACAGGTCTCTGTGCTACTCTGGGACTCTAGTGCAGCCTTTAGCTGAGAGGCATTGGACTTGGCTTTGGAGTTAAAAGCCTGGTGGCTACTTCCACCCTTCACCCCGAATGGGACTGGCTGAAGGTCAAAGAGAGTTGAAGTTCTTATCTGCAGAAACACCAAAATCTCCTGTCTTCAAGTGGCCAAGACTCTCTCGGGCTGCAGCCCATGGCCTCTTAGCCCTCTTGTGTGCTCTGGCCCTCAAGTTCAACCCTCACTGGTAGGGGAGAAGGAGAGGAGAGGAAGGGGGATTGGCCTCGTCCATCACGGGCCAGCCCTGAGGAAGCAGAAGTGGGCCTGGGAGACTACGGAGTCCACTGCAGGGTGTGGGAGAATGGGGGCTGAGGGGAGTTGGAGGTGAAGAGATTCCTGCTCAGACTCGGGAGAAGGCAAGGAGAAGCGTTGGTGGGGGCCAATAAATGGCTTTAGAGGAAGATCCCAGCAGTGAGCAGGTGGAGGCTGGAGGAGGTCTTAGGGAGGGGGGTGAGGAAAGAGTGGGGAGGTGGGGGTGGGGAGTCTTCAGGGAGGTGGGGATGAGGGGCGCCGCAGAGAGCTCATGGTGGCAAGGGGGGAGTCGTTAAACAGAATCTAGTGCTGATGAGGAAATTACACTTGTTTCATTAGCGATGGGGAAGGAGATAGCTCAGTTCCTCTTGGTCACAGTTGAGCTCAGAAGCTCATTATCCTGCTGCACGCATGCCTTCCCGCCTCGTCAATAAACAGGCTTTCCAGTGGCTGCATCCCCACCCCCACCCAGCTCCTTCTTGGAGTGGGGCCCCTTCTCCTCTACTTAACCCGCGGTTAGGGATCACTGTAAACAGTTTGGGGTCATCACACAGGAGAAAGGGCGAGGGGGAAACCCACAGGCCTGGCCTTTCTCCTCCCGGAGGGAGGGAGGCGGCTCCCGAACGCTCCCAGCCCACCTTGTCCTCCACCACAGACTGCTAGGCCTGCGGGCAGTCCACTGGATTCCTGCAGTTTTCTTCCCCGGCTGCATGGCCCTTGTACTGAACCTCGGGAGGGAAAAGTGGGAGGAGTTATTTCCCAGGAGAGCACCACCACTACCACCTGCCTAGCTTTGGCACAGCGCTGAGATGCCATTCTTAGGACTTTCTGGGACAAAGTGTCCCAGGGGCCTTCCTTCCCCACCTTCCCCCTCTTTCATACTGTGGAGTGCCTAAAGCAAGTGTCCACTGCGAGCTCCCGCTGTAAGCGGGAGCAGCCAGACCTGGGTAGCCAGCAGCCTCGCAGGAGAGCCCAGGCACCTACCTGCCCGCAGAGCTCTCCGTGCCCAAGTGTGCAGGGACAGGGGTACTTCCTGCCCTGCGGTGGCTGTCCCCACTCAGAGAGCTGAGAGCGCGGGCTGCCTCCCCTCTGACCCGCCCTTGCCAGCAAACAAGACTGGGACTAGCGGGGACAGGGCAGAAGCGGCCAGCTGGGCACGCTGAGCGCCTCTAACTCCAGATCCCCGCCCTCCCACAGGGAGCGAGTTCTCAGGCAACCCATACAGCCATCCCCAGTACACCGCCTACAACGAGGCTTGGAGATTCAGCAACCCCGCCTTACTAAGTGAGTACGCCACCTGGCTGGCCGGCGGCTCAGCGGGTCGCCTGCCCGCCCTCCCGAATCGGGCGCTCAGGCTGTTTCCCACAGATCCCACTCTGGACGACCCCAGTGCTGGGTACCCGGATGGGCCAGAGAGACAGACTCATTAGAGCAGAGCCGGGGCCTGGGCGTCCCGTCCACCCCAGCCAGGACTCCTGCCTCCTGCCTCTTCCCTCCACTGCCTCTCGGTCGCTGGAAGGCCCTCGGCCGCAGTGACCCAGTGACCGTTGGACCCCTCGACGGTCCCTCAGCTGGGTGTCACCTGTCCTGTCCACTCCCGCCCTGCGAATGCAGCCCTCCTCCTGGGCATCTGGCCTCAGGGCCCAGCCCTGACCCCGCCGGACCCGGGGAGGGCTTTTCTTTGCTTTTCTTTCCTTTTGTTTTGTTCTCCTGTTTGTCCTCTCACCCAGCCCATTCTTCTCCTGTGTTAACTTCCAGGTTCCCCTTATTATTATAGTGCCGCCCCACGGGGCTCCGCCCCTGCCGCTGCTGCCGCTGCCTATGACCGCCACTAGTTACCGCGGGGACCACATCAAGCTTCAGGCAGACAGCTTCGGCCTCCACATCGTCCCCGTCTGACCGCCCACCCCAGAGGGAGGGAGGACCGAAGCCACCCGCCGCCTCTCGGCCACCGCCCCAGTTCCATCCCCACCTTGAGACGAGCCCCCTCCCCCTGCAGCCCTGCACTTCACCCTGTCGGTGCCGGACGGGACTGCGGAGCCTCAGGTGGGAGCCTCGGACCCAGCCCGCCCGCCCGCGCCCCTCCCCGCCCGCCCGGACCGCGGCGCCGCCCGGGAGCCCGCCCGCCTCTGGCCCTCGCGCCGGACACGTTTCTGTGACACACAATCAGCGGGCTCCCCCCCCGGGGCAGCCCGCTTCGTACGCCCGGGCACCGGGAGGCTTCGCTGGAGACGCTGAGCGAGGGACACTGAGGAAAGGACTCGGCGGCGGGGGCGGAGCCGGGGCGCTCCAGCCCCGCCCACCCCACGTGCCTGCCGGGCCGACCCCGCCTTCCGTCCGTGCGGGCCGCACGCGGCGGCGCCGGCGCGAGGGTCAGGCGCGGGGGCGGCAGCGTTCTCCAAGGCCGGGCGCCCCCGGCGGGCGGGCGCCGCCCGAGCGCGGCCTGGGCCGCCTCCCCCGGGCGCGGGGTCTCCTCCCACGGAGGCCGCTCTCGGCCCCCCGGCCTACCTCAGCGCCGCCTCCACCTGCGGGCCTCACTCCCCCTCCGGCGCGCCCTTGCCCGCCCCAGACGCCGGGGCTTGGCCCCAAGCGCGCAGCCGCGCGGGGGCCACCGCGGGAACAGTCTCCTCCGGCTGCGAACGCTGTCCCCACCCCAGACTCCCAGCCTGCGGGCGGTAGGAGCCCCGGGGGAACTGACGAGCGAGCTGTCCCGAGGCGAAAAGCCGAGGCTGCCCGCCCCGCCCCACCCAAACCCCAGCCCTCCCTCGGGCAGGAGCTGAACGGAGCCGGGGGGAAACGTCTACGCTTATTTAATACGACGGTCTTCGCGAAAACGAACCCAACAGCCTAGCAGGCGGCGTTGTAGAAGACGGTGTGCGCGGTGTGGAGGCGAACCTCTGTACATAGCCCCTCTCTGCCCCGCTCGGCCGGGTCCCGGGTCCCGGCTTCCGTAGAGCCCCTGTCCCCACCTGCCCTGCCTGTAGACACACCCTGCTGTCTGTGCTGTGAGAGTCGCCGCTCGCTGGGGGGAGGGGGGACACAGCTACACGCCCACTACAGCACAGCACGTCCTGGGGGAGGGGGGCGTTTTTTTACGTTACAAAAAAAAAAAAAATTATGAAAGAAATCTCTATGCAAAATGACATGGTTCCGTGGACACCTCTCGACTTTGTTTTGTTGGCTGTTTCTCTGTAATTCTGTGTTTTCGCTCTTACCTCCCCGCATCTCTTCCCTGTTCATCTCCCTTTTCTCTACTGCTCTCCCCTTCTGTGTCTCTTTCTCTGCTTCACCTGTCTCTGTCTCGGTCCAGCCCTCCTGCCCCCGGCCTCCAAGGCTACATCCAAGGTGGCACAGCCAACCTCCTGGCTGGCCCTCTGTGGCCGTGCCCCCACGTGCCTGGCCGGGCCGCCCTGCCCCGCCCCACCCCGTAGTTGCTCTCTCGGTAGCGGCGATGCTCCCTGCATGTCTCCTCAACCGTGGATCGTGACGACTCGAAATAACAGAAACTAAATAAAAGTGAAAAATAAATAAATAAAAATCCTTGAACAAATCCGAAAAGGCTTGGAGTCCTAGCCCAGATCGCTCTTCCCTTCGAGCCTTGTTATTTGAAAAGGAAAGCGAGTAAAGAGAACAGTCCAAGGGCACTGCTGGCGCCCAGTCGGGCTCCAGTGGCTGGAGCCGGATGGCGAGGGCACCAAGGTCCCCAACTCTGAGGCCCGGCATGATCCAAAGCTTTGTGGGTCTGGCCGCGCTCCAGGAGTGCGGAACCCAGGCCCAGGCTTGGCCTTCCAAAGGTCTTCCACACTTCCGGTCCTCCGCCACTTTCAACGTGTCGGTTCGTTTTTTATTATTTTTTCCTTTCTTTCTTTCTTTCTTTCTTTCTCTCTTTGCTTTCTTCCTTTCTTTCTTTTTTTGTGCACATGATAAATAATAATAAATAATAATAATAAAATTTTGTATGTCACTCCCCATGGCTCCAGGTTTGTCTCTCCCTGCCTCTGGGATAGGCCTGTCCTCCCGCTGGTGGACCCTCAACAGCTCTGAAGGATCCAGCTCCATTCCCAATGCGACTCCTCTAAATTTTTAACCAAGGCCCCTGGCTGCTGCTGGACTCTGACAGTGGCCTAAAGAAACCTGTCCCTCAGCTTCCCCTCCCCACCAGCCACCCAGCCCTTGGGCCAAGGAGTTTTTTGCTTTCTGGAATATCAGAGTAACTTTGACACTGCCCTTCTGTACCATATTAGCTTTGCCTTATTGCTGGCGTCCTGCAGCCATACCTAGGGGCGCAGGTTCCCTCTCCCCCTGGGTTGGTGGGGTGGAGGGTAGCCTGCGGTCCTATCTTCTCTCCACTCCCCAAGTGGGTTCAGGGGCTCACTGGCACAGCGCAATTTTGAACTGTGCCCTCTAAGAGACCACAGAGGCCAGGAGGTACTCCTTTCAGCATTTATTTCTAGACCCTAAGAGCCGCCGGCCAGCTCTCGGGACCTGGGCGTTGCACTGTTCCACCCAGGACCCATCAAGTAGCCAGTGAGACTAGCGGCTCAGGTGTACCAGGGTTTGGGTGTACCCAGGGAGGAGAGCTTAGGTGCTCTGGACAAAGGGGAATGTGAGTGGCTGGGTCAGTAGCTTCCTGCAGAGAATCGGAATTTTATTCTTCTGTGTGGCCCTATGTGTCCTAGAGGAGTTCTGCCAACGAAGAAGAAGTATTGTTGAACTTTTTTAACACCTGGTACTTGAGCTCAGGGGAGAGAGAAGGATTTGTGTGTCTGTCCTTGTTTCTGTTCCTGCTTAGAGAAGGATGTCTTGTTTGTCCATAATTGTCCTGCTGTATTGGAGAAATAGAAATTGCCCCTGTCCCCATCTTTTCAGCATCCTGTCAGCTCTGACCCTTTCCTTCTTGCCAACACAGCCTTCCCATACCAACTTCCATGTGCCCTCTGCTCTGGGAGACTCTCCCTGAGCTCTAGGAAGGTCCAGCAGCTAAGCCTTCTTCTCAGCCAGTGCCTGTTTGAAAGGCCTCCTCTTTTAGGATTGGCTGCACTGCAAGCAGGACCTCCCAGCTGGGTCAGTGCCTTCCAGACACCTGCTCCCTGCCAGCATGCCAGAGACCTTACACGAGAGCAGTTTATCCATATCCATAACACAGCACCCAGGCTTATCCACATCATGCCACCAGGGGGTACACAGGATCCCCTGTGTACACACAGAACACCATCAACCTCTTCTCCCCCTTCTCACTGTGTCCCTCCCCACTCTCCTTCCCAAGAACTAGTAATCCTACCTCACCCTGCCTGGTGCTTCCCCATCCTGGCTTCCAACCTGGAAAAAAAAAAAAAAATGTCCTTCAAACTCTTTGGCTGTACTAACACACCTATAAAAGAATTCTAGAAGTTCACTTCAATCTAAGTATATCTGTTTGTTTACACTTCCCATAAAGATACTAGTGCATTATGAACTGACTTGGAGAACATTCTGAGTCCCTTAGAAGATGTGCACTCCACTTTAGCCTACTCAGAGCTTCCAAATACCCAGCACAGACTCCTGGTGATCGGCTGATGCTCAGCTGTCAGGAAGCTGACAGATACTGGGTTGGACCAAGGCTCGGTGGGTGGGTTTATTCAGAGGCTGCCCTAGCCAGAAGGAACAGGCACCTGGCCTTGAATGACTGCTTTTGCTTACCCATCACCAAACTCAACGGCAGGAACATTTTCGCAGATACCTTCAGAATCTCTTGTCTTATTTACTTCTGGCCCCCCAGCACGTAGACAGCAGGGGTCACGCTGTTCACAGTGGCCGTTTCCAGGCAGAACTTTCACACTGCCTCCTTTCCAGAGTGTTGGTTTAAAATTGGAATCAGCCAGAAAGCCCCCAAACATGCTTTAGAGTCCCTGCCAACTGTTTAGTCTAACTGCAGCCCTTTCACCAAGAGGATTTGTTCTCAGGCTTCAATTTGCTCTCCCCAGAATTCTGTCTGCTGACCCTGCCCCAACTCATTGGCACAGATTCCCAAGTGAGGTAACCAAATATAACAGTTTAAATAGGGAGGGGGAAAAGTATTTCAGGTTAGGCAAACAGTTGGAGGCAAAGACATGAAAGTATATTTGAGTGGCTAGAGTGTCAGGTACCTGGGGCGAGGGAGGGGGTGCGGTGTCAAGAAGAATGTCAGATGAAGCTTAAAAGTAGTTTAGTTGGTAGCCAGGACACCGGTGAGAATGTCAAAATGGGATCTGCCATTTAAGGAAAGCTGCACCACCGCAGTCACATCCTGCCAACGATTACATTGTACCGGACGAAGTCCACACTGAACCAATCTTTCTTCCTTTCTCACGATGCAAAAGTAGGCAGTATGGATAAAATAAGGCTGTTCCCCAGGAGAGGCAAAGCCCCACAAAGGCCCTGAGTGGATCCCCTAATTTTCACAGGATCAGTGAAGTTAGTTCCATTTTAGCAGATGCTCAAGGCTAAAGCCCATATCTTCCCAGACTCCTATCTTTTTCACCCCAAGCCCATCTGATCTATCAGCAAAATCAGTCTCCATTCGAAATAGACCTAGAGCCAGCTGATGGTGGCACACACCTTTAATCCCAGTGCTTGGAAGGCAGAGACAAGCAGACCTTCTTTGAGTTCAAGGCCAGCCTTGTCTATAGAACAAGTTCCAGAACAGCCAGGGCTACATAGTGAGACCCTGCCTAAAAAAAAAAAAAAAAAAAAAAAAAATAAGGTCCAGAATATGTCCACTTCTTACTCTTTGCTCTGTACCACACTGTCTAAGCCACCATAACTTGCAAAGAAATGAAGGAAAGAAAAAGAAGAAGACAGGAAGGAGAAAAGGAAGAAAAGGAAGGAAGGAAGGAAGGAAGGAAGGAAGGAAGGAAGGAAGGAAGGAAGGAAAGAAGGAA